AAGATAGCCTGGCTGGTTTGGCTCAGTGAATAGAGCATTGGCCTGTGGACTGAAGGGTCCCGTGTTCGATTCCAGTCAAGGGCACATGCCGGGGCTGTGGGCTCAATCCCCAGTAGGGGGCGTGCAGGAGGCAGCCGGTCAATGATTCTCTCATCATTGATGTTTCTATCTCTCCCTACCTCTCCCTTCTTCTCTAAAATCAATAAAAATAAAATCATAGGTAGATAGATAGATAGATAGATAGATAGATAGATAGATAGATAGATAAAGATAACAATCAATCTGTCCATAAACTGTACCTAAAGACTCTTTCTTTAGGGTCAGTTAGAAAAGGGGCCCTTTCTTGAGTATAAGGACACGGATTATTGTGGTCTAAAGATTGCTATCATGTCTGTTATAATGAAGATGAGGTAGACATCAAACCACTGTCAGATTAAGAAACTTCTCTAACTCGTCTCAATTCTTCAACTAGTGGAGCCAGCTCCTCTTCTAGGCGGACAGTCAGTCCTGCATCGGCACTGCCGCTGGCTATGAAACTCACCACCAAAGGCAAACGATTACATTGACCCACCTGGTTGGTGTTAGAATAGCAGGTGAGACTTTCATTTTTTGAAAGTCCGAGTTTGCTCCTTTGGCCTGTTGCAAGGGCAAAAGCAGATAAGAAACCAGATCTCAAGGGAGGCTCTGGAGCAATATCATTGGCCGCCTTAATAACAGGCGCTCTGCCTCATCAGACAGAAGAGCATGAGCCCTTCAACACTTGGTAACTTTTCATACAGGAGTCGCATTAGGCCATCCGCACGACGAACCCCTTTCTCTCTCAGGTTCAATATCCAGCCCAGCTTGCTGGGCTGCCTGGTTCTCTGGGCAGCAGGGTTCGTGGCTGCCTCCTGCCACTTCAGGGGCAGCTTCAAAGACCTGGCCTATGTCTTGATGTTGGTTGCTCTGAGTAGGTATGTTTGGGTAGGTTGTATTTTTACAATATGGAATTTCAATTTTTAAAAAATGTTTCCGTAAAGTTTTTTGAGTTATTATTTGTTAGTATTTACTTTCCCCCTTATTTTGGGTGAGTTCCTTAGAGATTTCTATTATTGGTTTCTATGTTAGATCTTCTTTGCCTGCCTTCAATATCTGTCACTCTCTCTTTAAGCCTTTTCATCCCTTTTGTTTTTTTATTTGTAAAACTTTTATTTTCAGCTTCCCTTTCTCTTGAGTATTTGTCTCTGAAATTGCTTTTTGCTTTCATGTTAAATTGGTCTACTGGACTTTGCAGGGGATACCTGTGAACTACTTGGGCATCTCCCACTGCTTTCTCCTGCATGGATGCCAGGTGGGCATGGACTGTATTTGGGGACTCATGGGGACACCTTATCACCTTGTGTAGTTGTAAATGTTTTCTCTGGATTTAAACATTTTCTTATCTGGTTATCATGTGGTTTTGGTTGGGATCCAGAGAGCTGTAAACACTATGTGCTGTATCTTCCGTCTTCCGGAATCTCTTTGCTAGACATTTGGCACATATTATCTTTCCCCTTCCCAGCTCTTTCCTCTTCACCACACCGCCTCCTTCTGGTGAATAAAAGATCCTGTTTTGTGCTTGGAAATTACAGAAGGGGCTTGTATCCAGGGCTTCCTGAGACAAGGCCAGTTACAACCTGAGCAGCACTGACTAACCCAGTCAGCCTGCCGGCTTCCAACCTTCAAGGCAGCACGGGCACGGCTCCAGAGCAGACTCAGAGCCAGGCTGCCTGGGCCTGAGTCTCTGCCCCACCTGATACCAGCTTAGGGGCTGTGGGCAAGTGACTTACTCGTAAGCTCTCCACACTTCCGTGTCTTCACTGTGAAGTGGGGACCATAACAGTCCTTTCCTGGCAAGGCTGTTGTGAGGAGCAGTTAAGTGCTTAGAACGGTGGCTGGCCCGCAGGAAGCAGTACATAAGCGTCAGCTGCCATAGTTTTTATCATCATTCTAATAATGACGATCCTGATTATTATCATTTCCCTCGGGGGAGCTCGGTTTAGTAGAATGACTCGGCCAGAAGTGATGGCAGCTCTACATACCAATGACCTTGGATACATCCAACCCTCTGAACCTTCACTCCCTGTTTGTCTCAAGATCCAAATGAACACTGTTCACAATGAGTGAAGAAACCAACATGTATGGCTGCCTACCAGGTACCAGACATGGCCTTGGGAGTTTCATTAATCTCCACAGAAACCCATGGACCGAACCCCTACTCTGTGCTAGGCATCTTGCTAGGAGCGAGGGACAGGGCTCTAAAAGAGACAAACTTGGTCCCTGCCTTCATGAGCTTTCTGGACTGTGGGGAAAGACGAACGAGAAACAGGTAAATGGCCACTGCAAACTGCGATCAGCATCATGGAGGAAGAATTACGAGAAAGACTGACAGAAGAAACCCAAGCCCAGGGGTCAAGGAAGGCCTCTCAGAGAAAAGAACACTTAAGCTGAAGTTTAACTAACATTCAGACCAAGGGCGCAAAGCATGTGCAAAGGGCCTGAGGCAGCAAAGAGCTCGTCAGCGTGGCCTGCAGGGAGTGAGCAGGTGGAGAATGAGCTAAGCCTGGAGATGCACCGGAGAACTAAGTCATGCAGGACCTTGACAGGCACATGGGGGACTTGGGTCAGTGGTTCGGCTGGAATCCTGGTGGAGGTGGAGGGGCAGGTGGGTCAGAGCCCACATTGGAGGTCTTGTGACAGAATGGCACAGTCAGAGCCATGGAGTCAGCAAACTGAGTTTTAACACCGGCTGTGTGATCTTGGGCAAGTCGCTCGCCCTCTCCGTGTCTCCTGAGGATGAGACACCTGCCTGGCAGGAGTGGAGGCAATGCAGCGAAGGACCTGATGCGACCGGGTGTCCCCATGAGCTGAGCACTCACTGCCCTCCGGGCGCAGGGCCGCATCCTGGCATCCTCGGCGCGGAGGCAAGAGCTGCGTCAAGATGCTGCAGCCGCGCCCAGCGTTTTCCCACCACCAGGTCGGGCTGCTTCTCAGGACAAACAAGACGGCCAGCTTGAGCCACATCCACCAGAAAATGCTCTTTTTTTTCCTGCTTCCGTTAAATGCTCAGCTTCAAGCGACACAGCAAGGAAACCAAGCTGGAGCCTGAAGCCTGGCTTGGCCACAAACAGGCCATGTAACCTTGGCCAAGACCCTCCCCTGCTCTGGGCCTCAGTTTTCACATCTGTAAAATGAGAGGGGACGGAGCTCGCCAATCAGTCTCCGAGGGGCCTTCTCAATCATCACCTCTGGGCTTACAGGGGGCAAGAGAATTCATTGGCAAGGGCACACGGAGCCTCTTCTGCCCTCGCCTGGGCTCCCGGGAGGAAGGAGCAGTGACCGCCATGGACAGCCACTCCCAGGCGTGCCCCAGGCGCCCCCGGGGGCACCAGGCTGTGGCAAGTGCCCGGCTCACCCTGATGATAAGCAACAGAGACCCCCACCCGCACGCGAGGAATAAACCAAGGCACGCAAGGCATGCGGGTGGATCGCCTGCTGAATTTTATTGAGCCGGGCGAGGAGGGTGAGGAAAGCGACAAGAGGGAGCCCCACGCCCACAGCGAATGCTCAGAGCTCTGCGGACACAAAGATGAAAAGCTTGGCCACAAAGGAGCTGACGGTGCCGTGGCGATAGAGGTCCATCTTGACGGTCAGGAGCAAGTCCCGGGGCTCGGGGACGGGCTTGGTGAGGGCCACCACCCCGCTGTGGGGGTTCACCTTCCGGGTGGTGAAAAAGCCCTCGTCATTGCCGCCGGTGATGGCCAGCTGCATGCTGTCCCCGGGGACGGAGCTGGAGGGGCCCATGCGGAAGACCACGGCGGGCACTTGGATGTTGGTGGGGAAAGAGAGGTGGTAGTAGGTTATTCGCAGAGGCAGCCTGTGGCACTCCTGATTCTCATGGCAAGGCAAGCGCTCGCAGCGGCTGCAAGACAAGTGACAGAGACAAGGGGGGTTAGGGCCGGTCCAGCAAGCGGGGGGGCAGTGCGGGAAGCGGGTGCGCTGCGGGGCTTCCGCCCCTCGGCCGCAGGACGGGGAGGAGCGCCCCTCACTCACCTGCGGGAGGTGGCGTGGGCCTCAGGGCTGCGGACTCGGGCACTAGCCTCTTCCAACAGCCTCGGGGGGCGCGGGGGCTGGGGTCAAGGGCTGTGCCCGGAGGGCGGGGTGGCCCCTTCTCACCGGCAGAGCCCCTCGCCCAGTGGTCAGGGCCACCAGGGCTCCTGGGGGGCTGCAGAGAGGACCCCGGGAAGGATCGTCTTCCCACTAGCAGCCCTGGCTGCGGCCATCGGCCAAGTGCTCGGCTCTGCACCACCACGCCTTCCCTCTGCACTGTCAGCAGGCGCGACGCCATTGTCCAAATGGGGAAACTGAGGCTGAGAGAGCCAGTGCCTTCCCAAGGTCAGAGTGAGGAAGCCAGACTCATGCTTGGGCGGGAGGTCTAGTCCCTGTTCCCCCTCTCGGCCTTGACTCCAGGCCCAGGTCCTGTCTGTGTCACAGGACTAGCCAGGACTCGGAACAAAGATGGGGACAGATTCTAATTTCCCATGACAGGATGGGGACAGGTTAAAGCTTCCTGTGACAGGATGGGGACAGATTCTCACTTCCTGTGACTGGATGGGGACAGGTTCTGACTTCCTGTGATAGGATGGGGATAGGTTCTGACTTCCTGTGACAGGATGGAGACAGATTATCACTTCCTGTGACTGGATGGAGACAGGTTAAAGCTTCCCGTGACAGGATGGGGACAGGTTCTCACTTCCTGTGACAGGATGGAGACAGGTAAAAGCTTCCCGTGACAGGATGGGGACAGGTTCTCACTTCCTGTGACAGGATGGAGACAGATTATCACTTGCTGTGACTGGATGGAGACAGGTTAAAGCTTCCTGTGACAGGATGGAGACAGATTATCACTTGCTGTGACTGGATGGAGACAGGTTCTCACTTCCTGTGACAGGATGGGGACAGATTCTCACTTCCTGTGACAGGATGGGAACAGGTTCTGACTTCCTGTGACTGGATGGAGACAGATTCTCACTTCCTGTGACAGGATGGGGACAGATTCTCACTTCCTGTGACAGGATGGGGACAGATTCTCACTTCCTGTGACTGGATGGAGACAGATTAAAGCTTCCTGTGACAGGATGGGGACAGGTTCTCACTTCCTGTGACAGGATGTACAGGTTAAAGCTTCCTGTGACAGGATGGGGACAGGTTCTCACTTCCTGTGACAAGATGGAGACAGATTCTCACTTCCTGTGACACGATGGGGACAGATTCTCGCTTCCTATGACAGGATGGGGACAGGTTAAAGCTTCCTGTGACAGGATGGGAACAGGTTAAAGTTTCCTGTGACAGGATGGGGACAGGTTAAAGCTTCCTGTGACAGGATGGGGACAGGTTAAAGCTACCTGTGACAGGATGGGGACAGGTTCTCACTTCCTGTGACAGGATGGGGACAGGTTCTCACTTCCTGTGACAGGATGTACAGGTTAAAGCTTCCTGTGACAGGATGGGGACAGGTTAAAGCTTCCTGTGACAGGATGGGGACAGGTTAAAGCTTCCTGTGACAGGATGGGGACAGGTTCTCACTTCCTGTGACAGGATGGGGACAGGTTCTCACTTTCCTGTGACAGGATGTACAGGTTAAAGCTTCCTGTGACAGGATGGGGACAGGTTAAAGCTACCCTGTGACAGGATGGGGACAGGTTCTCAGCTTCCTTGTGACAGGATGGGG